TAGCAGTATTTTAATGGCATCGTTAGATTATTTGGTGGCCGCATTAGTAGGCTTTTTGGTCTCCTGTGCGGGTCGAATCCCGTCCCAGGAGAAATTGGCTATGGATGTTGTGATTGTCCGTAGGTGGTAGACGGTCTCTGACTGTCGAACGCAGAGGTACCACCCGGCGGATCTCGTAGGCGGGGTCAGAATGTGTGCATGTTGCATGCACACGTGTTCCCTCGCCAGAGTCCGTGTGGCGTTCCCCCTTTCCCCTGTATCCCCCTATAGCCCCACGGTACCCCATGGTACCAACGATCCACAGGGGACCTTCTATGCAATTGTGGGGTAAACTCATCCAGTCTCATGGGAGGCCATGTCGTTATGCTTCTTCATCTCACAACGTCCAGGCGAGGTCGGTTCCTTTTACAGGACATGCAGGAATTCACAGCGACGATTTATACTAAAAAAATACCGTGTATGTAATCATCGCTGAGAAAGTACCAGGTCAATGAACCCAACTCAATATCCGTGAGTAGTTTCCGAAAAGTAATACACAACGATGACAAAACTACATCCCCGTGCAGTAACCAGTAAGCATGGCGGGCTTATCGAGGATATACGTTAATTTTAGCGCGTGAAGATCATGAAACGGAATAGCTCCCGTTGTAAGGTTATACAGATGACCCGGCGACCGTCATCCCTTATCGTAGCACGTGGCGTGCACCCTTCATAGGGGCGGCCCCAGTAGCGTCACGCTGCGATGGATGCAGCGTTCCCCTCGCCAGACTAACAGCGATAAACCGAATTGTCAACATTACATTCGATTCCCGCGAAAAATACTTGCCGGTAGTCTGGGATAGGCGAAAATACAGTAGAAAGTGTTTCAACGTAAAATTAAAGGAAATACTGTCAAAAACGGTACCCCATATTGTTGTTGATTTAAAAAAATGTCGTCAAGTAGGTTGACTCTTCATTTCCTATGCAACGCCATCATCAGTTCATAAAGGATTGTATGTATGTTAGGGGGAAGGGGGGAGGGGTTGGCTTTGCACAAAATTCCATTAGCCACATATTTTTATAACTTGTGTTACGTGGTAAAATCGTCCGACTTGATAATCAAAAATGTTCGGTGGTAGAGGAGGTTTGATTATTTTCAGCACAAGTTAAGCTCTCCGAGAAAAAAATTAGTTACGACAATGCACAGTAGAGAAATTAAACGGATCAAGTCAGTCGAACACATATTATTTCCCTGTCCTATAGATAGTCACCGTCCATCAAGCTGTTTCGTCCTTGGCTTAGCAGTACTTTCCAAGTCACATACGAGCACATACAGAGAGAAATACGGAAATAATTGACATGGTTGTTTGTGAATAGCCAAAAAACAATACATATTTCATTTTCGAAAACTTTCGCTGGTCGGTGTGGCGTGGGAGGCATATGCGCCTTCAAAGTCTGCGCGCCACTGCAAAGAAGTTGCATGGAAATCAACATGCATGCATATTTATAAATAAAATATTCAAATACCTTTACAGAAATAAACCCGGGAAAAGTGAAACGTCATATGGCAATACTGTTAAAGGGCAATTGCCGCTATTATCATTACCCGGAACAGTTCCATGGTTAATTAAACCTAGTCCTTACACGTTGCACACCGCTGAATACAAACATAGACAATTTTCGTTAGATTTACATGCTGCTTTCCCGCGAAAAAGATCGAATTCGGTAAATGATATTGCAGTAAATTATAATCAATAACGTCCAGGGGTGTCAACGGTAAGCGGAGAAAGCTTTTCAACAAAACGATGTCAATTAGATTCATTCCCGCACTGTCCATATCTACACCAGGATATCTAGAATTAAAGACTACATATAGCTCTTGTCCGTCCGATCACAGAAAGCCAACCATGGACAGCTGTTCCGTGTTTTTTGGCAACTCATCAGCATGGTCTAGGCTTGTCCTCAGATAGGACAATGAAGGAAAGCTGAGCAATTATCTTCTGTCCATGAAATCAGCACAATAAGGTGCCGTCTAGTTGTTTCACTCTCGCGGTGGAATATACACATGTTAAAATTTGTTGGTATACGATTTTCTCTAATATCTTTGAAAGCGCGGATAGCAAACTAACGGGATGCAAATAAGATATGTATGTCTATTGGATTCTTCACATTAGAGTCGGAATATTTCTCCGACGAATTTCCGTCTTATCTAAAGAAAGTACGAGTAGCAGGTTTTCGTTACCTTTCCTATAATTACAACCTCAATATTCAGACGAGGTTTTCAAGATTTGACTGACATCTCACACCAAATATTTGTCCGATTTGTCTCCTTCTGTCGACCTTTCAGGATAATTACAGCTTAGGGATCTGCACTTTGGACAGGATGTCATTTTTATAATGCGGTGATTACACAGAGATCTTTCTAGGAAGCTTCTCTCAAGAGATTCGATGGTACTATCAATAGACGTGTGCCTTTTGTCGCTACCTTTGAAATTTTAGAATGGTATATACTCGGTTACCAAAGCGCAGGTAGATGCATGATACAGGGTTATACGTAAATAATAGTGGGCCAAATAATGATAATGAGCCGTATTCATAAAACAAAGGATATCCTTATACTTGCAAATTTTGAATATACCATGGTTAATTTATGTAAAGCGTTACAAGTTATTTTAGCAACAAAGTTTGGTCAAATCAATCGCGAACTATGTACTAAATTCCTATTTAAAATAAGTACGAGATATTTCCTTATCTTTCTTCAAGAAATAACTTTTTTGCCACAAAAACGCTCCAATAGTTATTTTCAACAACAAAATGATAATCAAACCATGGACGTAGTGAAGAAAAGCATTTACCTATTAAGTAAATTCTTTTAGTCAAATTTCTTATGAAAGTAGTACAAACTAATCTGATGTACCTATTAAAGTCTACTTTAAGCTTTAAATCAATAAATCTTCAAAACTACTGAACTGAAGTACATTAATTTTATATCATTGTAAAGGGAATTGAAAGACCTTTAAAATAAGATATTACTCGACCCTCTTTCCATTTAAGATTTTAGGATTGGTGTCACCCCCGCCCACGGGGCTGCACGTGTTAACGTGATTTTTGTTCGAAAACAAAATCGACGGGTCTGAGCGTTTTTCAAAAAAAAAAACTGAGCTGTCAGTAAATGCGTTTGTTTCGTTTTCAATGAAAACAGCATTGCCCGGTTTTTGTAAGAATCATAGTACCACCCCTGCACTACTGAATCTAGTAGACGAATTCTATCTAAATTAAAATTGAAACCTTCCTCTACAAGATCCCCAAGAGTATTTTAGGAGTCTTAAGATTAAAACCTGGGCAGCTTCATAAAATGTATGGTTACAGATTTACGAAACAAATACAATTTTTAGAATTGACCATAAAATCATTTCAGCCCTTTACAAATGCTGGAACCCTCTATATGAAATCCCGTATTTGGCTTCTCCAGGGATTTAGATTATGTAAATAAAAGACTTAACAGTATTCATGCTACCAAATTTTCCAAAATAAGATACTCGGCTTTAGAGCAGGTATGATAATAAAACTTTATTGCTCTATTCAAAGGCAAGGAAGAGATAATGACAGATTGTGCCTTTCTTGTGAAAATAAACAAGAGAGGATTGAAATACATTTAAAAATAGATAGTAATCCCCAATTCAAAAAGCCATATATCAAAACGAAATATTTTCATTTTGACGTCACGAACAATGCAAATTGGGGGACAACCTATGGTTCAAGGAATAATATTGATACATTTTACGTGTAAGATGTTCGAGGTAACACGACATAAAACTGAATATTTATCTTTTCTTACTGAATTTTGAAATGCAATCACTTCCTTTTCTGACACAGAAGTTGCAAACTGTTGGATATCAATTTCCATGAAGGGTGAAACAACGATATCTTCGCGCCTTGCGAACCCTTTTTCGCGGGACAAAAAACCGACAACAAACGGGAACAACGGGCGAACGCGACGTGAATCCGCGAATAATACGCGAATGGGATCCACACTCATGGGTCGCGGGTGGTTCGCGGCTTCGCGCGCGATCCGCGCGTGAGTCTGGAAAGGGCATTAGAAAATGTCCACATAATGCTTCCTGATGGATAATGCAGTGGTAACAGATAAATTGCGGAAAACTTTAATCTTGGAGACATAACCCCACGAAACCCTTGTCACGACCCACCATAGCTGAAGCGCCATCGGTTGTCAAGCCTACCATTTTCGATATTGGAATTTTCTCAAAAGAAATAATATATTTAAAAGAAGAAAACAAGTCTTGCCCAGTAAGTAGTCTGTCCTTTTAGTGGAATAAACTTCAAAACATCTTCTTTAATCGTAACACTATCTCGATTTATTATAAAGTTGGCAAACATTGAATCTGCAGCTTCTAAAAACGCCTGTTTTATCATTTCCCGTCTTCATAAGGTTTCTTCTTTTGTATAATTGTCTGGGACACCCGATATGATGGTTCAGTTGGAGCCTTACTTTTGTCGTTTGTTTTTAAAAACATTGTTCGTTGTCCAATTATCTGATTTTTTAATTGTTTCAGTTTTTCTCTTGATATCCCTTTTTTTAGCAACGGAAATAGATGTATTACATAACAAACATACATTTTACCTTTAACTTCTGTAAATAAATATTGTTCTTCCCATTCCGTCTTCTTACTACTGCTCATAATGTTTTTAATTGCAGACCAACTCTACCCCAACCGCTGGACTTTGTGCCCTTTAGTTTTGAACTAAGCGCACTGTCGCCGCACCTTGCGTATTTATTCCGTTCAAAGTAATCGAGATCGTTCTCGAACAGATCGCTCACCGCAGTGTTGCCGCTGCTTGAGTATTATTGGAATTTACAAAATTTATGGAAGCTTCTATGATTTTTACACCTTTTTAGAATATGTTGTGTGCCACCGGAATTGCCTTTGCGAGCTACCGGTAGCTCACGATCGATGGGTTGGCGTCCGACAGAGGGATAGAAATTGATATTGACAGCTGCTCTCAATTAATCTTCATTTATTTTGATTTGGATACAGTTGGACGAGGATTATATAGTATGCGGTTATTGCCTGCACCATCTGGAAGAAATTCAAAAAAATATTGAAATGTTCACTGATATCTGATGTAAATATGAGCGCTTTTTTGGAATCAGAATTATACCTATTCATCTGTATGAAAATCCAATATGGCATATAAAAAGACTCATCTATTTTTTTTTAAATTGGTAGGTGTATTTTCGAAACCACGGCGTATCCGTTTATGATATCCGCGATGTTGCCAAACGAACAGTTTTTCAGAAACTGATAGCAACTTTTGTTTTCCTATGATAGATGATGATTTTGTTCTGCAAAAGTTCTGAATACTTTTTATTAAACATACGTTGACGTAGACTCAGTGTTTTCGAAATAACAACGTAAGATATTTTAGGTTTTCGAACAAAAAATGTTCATTGCTATTAAACATGTCTATCATGGTCTCACAGAATGGTAAACGCGTCAAAATCATCATCCGAGCTCTTGAACCAAGGTGATTGTGTAAGGATGGATTTTTTCCGTCTTCAAAATGCGTTTCACAGACATGTGAGATGTATTGTTAACTTCAGCAAGTGGTCTAGTAGAAAGGTGGAGGTTTTCCGCCATGCTCAGCAAAATATTATTTTCGTCAGTGGCTGTTTTCGGACAGCCACATCGTGGAACATGCTTTACATGTTCCCTTTTTTAAATTTCCTCAAAATTTGTTATTGGATTCCAGTTGGGATATTTGTCAATCAAAATAACGAAAACTTAGAAGTTCTATTCTCTCGGTTTCAGCGAAATGAATAATTCTGAATAACTCTACTAACAAAACTCAATGGACTTTTGAATGTCAGAAACGACAGGAAATTACCTACGATACCGGTCATTGCTTAGGTGAAAAAAATACTTTTTATTGTTTAGATATTAATGTTTGACCGCGAATATCTTGAAAACTATGACGTCTACGTCCAAGTATGTTAAATAAAGAAGTATTCATAATTTCTCGCAGAATACAAATATCGAATAAAATGTATAACATTGTATGGGAAAAACAAAATTTGCGATCAGTTCCTGAAAAACTGTAGATTTGGCAACATCGCGGATATCATCAACGGATGAACCTACCAACTTTTGCTTCACTCTGTATAAGTACAAAAAACGCTGAAACTTGACAGCCCGACAGTAAAACTTACCGCGAATAAAAGTCTCTTATCAATGTTGAACAATTCCGCAGCAGTGATTCTATTTTGATGACTGATAACTTGTAGCGAAACTAATTCTATTTCGCTGAGAATCTTAATTGCGTATACATCCATTTTGTAAATTGCTCTTCCAGCTGCCTTAGCCTACAAGGTAAACAAACAAAAAAAATCGATATTTAAATAATGAAGCGTCTTAAAATTTTTAAATCTTCCGGAAAATTTTACTTCAAATGCCGTGCGGGAAAACGGGATCCAAAGGCCTATCCGACCAATATAAAGGCCCGAATACAAAATTCCGTTTATACAGGGTGTCCCAGAAATAACACGCCACCAGAGTGACCACGTCTATTGGCTTCAGTAGTAATGAGTGATTTTTTTGCTAGTATCTTGTTGGCAACACTGTTTTTGACAGGTGACGCGTGAAGGGACTGAAGAAAATATTGCGGCTGTATCCGCCAGTGTTAGTGATGACCGTGAAATGTCGATTCGCCGCCGTTCGCAGCAATTGGGCCTCTGTTACTCCACTACGTGGAAAATTTTGCGACAGGATTTGGGTGTAAAACCTTATAAGATATAGCTGGTGCAAGAATTGAAGCCACACGACCTCCCACAACGTTTCCAATTTGGTGAATGGGCGCTGGCAAAGTTGGAGGAAGATCCACATTTTTATCGAAAAATTGTGTTCAGCGACGAAGCTCATTTCTGGTTGAATGGGTACGTTAACAAGCAAAATTGCCGCATCTGGAGTGAAGACCAGCCAGAAGCATTGCAAGAGCTACCAATGCATCCCGAAAAAATCACTGTTTGGTGTGTATTATGGGCCGGTGGCATCATCGGGCCGTACTTCTTCAAAGACGACAATGGCCGGAACGTAACTGTGAATGGCGAGCGCTACCGTGCGATGATAACAAACTTTTCTTGCCCAAAATGGAAGAGCTGGACTTGGCTGACATGTGGTTTCAACAAGACGGTGCCACATGCCACACAGCACACGAAACAATGGCCCTATTGAGAGGCGAGTTCGATGAACAGTTTATCTCACGTTTGGGGCCCGTCAATTGGCCGCCTAGATCGTGTGATTTAACGCCGTTGGACTATTTCTTGTGGGGCCATGTTAAGGCTAATGTCTACAGGGATAAACCAGCAAAGATTGACGCACTGGAAGCCAATATTGAAGCATTTATTCGTGAGGTACCGGCCGATAAAATCACCCGTTAGTAAAAGTTTTCTAGTTTTCGAGATATTGCCACTTTAAAGTTTTTTCAAAAATCACTACTTTTTGCCTGTTATGGCTATGAAGAACTTCTAACTTATGATTTTCTTCCCTGTTCTACCATCTTATCTTGGACACCCTGTATAGTGTCGTTCGAAGTGTTTAAGAAAAATTTGCAGTAGCGACCCTGAAGAACTTGTGTTTTCTTTGGGACACTCCTTATACAGGGTGGTCCATAAGTCCTTTGAAATTTCAAATTTGAATAAAATTTAACGGGTGAGCGTGAGCGGCGCGGGCGAGGTGGAAGCAGTATCTTCAGTGTCTGGGAATTCAGTCGCCATGGAGTGTTTCACTGGAGCGGATCGTGCTTTTTGTGTGCGCGCGTTTTATCAAAATAATGATTCGGCAACCATTGCGAGGCGTAAATATCGAGAATACCACAATTTACACAATTTTACAAAGTGTCCAACGGCTCAAACGATTAAGAACTGGGTTGCTAAGTTCGAAGAGACTGGTTCGACGTTAGATAATCAGCGGTGGGGTCGACCAAGGACAACTCGTATTGAAGAAAACATCAACATTGTGGCACAGTCTGTTCGTCAAAATCCTACCCAGTCTACTCGTAAGCGTTCCAGTGCACTAAACGTACCCAGAACATCTTTACAGCGGATTTTAAGGAAAGATTTACGTCTGCACGCTTACAAAATTCAGTTAGTGCAGGAATTAAAAGATAATGACGCTATTCAGAGATTAAACTTTGCGAATGAAATGTTGAATCGATTTTCTTCGCTCAATAATGTGTTGTTCTCGGACGAGGCTCACTTCCATTTAAACGGGCATGTAAATAAACAAAATTGCCGTTATTGGAGCCCCGAAAATCCAACGCGTAAGCATCAGAAGCCCTTACACAGCCCTAAAGTTACAGTATGGGCAGCTATGTCAGCGCATGGCATCGTAGGCCCTTATTTTTTTGAGGACGACAGAGGTCGCGCATTAACTGTTACTTCGGAGCGGTATGTAGCAATGATAGAAGAGTTTTTGACACCAGCGTTGCAGAATTTTCCAGGCTATAATACGCAGACCTGGTTTCAACAGGACGGAGCAACTGCCCACATCTCCAACACTTCTATGCCCGTCGTCTGTCACCTTTTTCCCAGCAAAGTAATTTCTCGAAGAGGAGACATTTCCTGGCCACCACGTAGTCCAGATTTGACCCCAATGGACTTCTTTTTATGGGGCTACCTCAAGAGTAAAGTGTACGACACCACTCCGCGATCAGTTGATGTCCTGAAAGAAAATATCCGAAGAGAAATGGCAAGCATTACAGTGTTGACTTGCCGCGCAGTCATCGACAATTTTAGACGTCGTTTATATGAGTGCCGTGATCGTAATGGATTGCATTTAGACGATGTGATTTTTGAAACATAATTCCCATTCAATAAAGATGATAACAAAATATAATAAATCTTCATAATGTAACTAGTTTGGTTTTATTCCTTTTTTTCCAGCTCAAAGGACTTATGGGCCACCCTGTATGACTACCAAAATGCGATTTTGTCTCTCGCCTGAAATTATATCGGGGATTTTAGTTGGATTTTAAAATTCTTCAGTTATTGAAACGAAATTCCAGAAATAAAATTCAACTGACATTTTCCAAAAAACATTTATCTCTCACCTGATTAGCGAGACCATCTGATAAGCTACACAGATATATGCATTTGGTGACAGAATTCACAATACCATAATAGTCAATGTAGGTTGGATTCATCTCCTCGATGCGAAAATATCCCGTAGTGACATCGATAAAAGTCATCATGATTTGACCTAGGATGATTACACCGAACACTTCGTTAAAATCATCCACAACCTTGGAAACTTTCCTATGAGTTTCTTTAAACTGATATAAAATTTTTGATGTGGCTCCATTTGGTGGGGATGAGTTGTACTTGTTTTCGACGATACCACTCAATCTAGTATTTAAATTGGAAAGTTGAGCTTTCGTAACGTAGAGATGGATACAAATTTCAATAAATTGGGCTTCGCTAGAAATAGCACCGTACAAATAGCTGAGTGCAGGGGCCCATATATCTGAATTCGATCCGAATTCCGTCATTATATAATACACGTGTATCGAAGTTTGCAAAACAAGCTTGGTGTAGGCTATATATATTCCTATCTTCACAATATTTTTGAAACTGCACTCACTGAATTTTCCGCAAAAATATTCCGACTCACTAAGGAATGCAGCCATATCCAAGATCAAGTTGGCTCTTCTTTTGAACAAGAATATATTTATTAGAGTGCAGATTGCTATGTAAGAAACGCCAAGAACAAGTGATATCACACTGATTGCACCAGTGACGTCGGACGAAACTAAGATATCACGTGCGAATCTCTTACAATAAAAATAAAAAGAAAAATAAAAGATAAACATTATAAAGATGCAGTAACTAACGCAAAGTTTTGACACTTGGACGCGTCCTTTATAAATCACAACAGTTGGAACACCACAGATGTTGCAGAAGTTGTATAGTAAACCAAATGTTTGACTAAAGTCGATTGATACTTCGGCGTTCATTGTTACGAATGACTGAATAACTAATCAAAAATTAGATGCATCATAGTTGTTGGTCATTAATATTTGATAAGCATTCTTATTTGATGATTCTGTTATTGCAGTCAATATTCGTAATGCATTATACGCATAGGCGTACTAATAATGGGGACAAAAAAGGTAAACACCTACGTATGTTTATTAGAATTCAAGAATTTTTTCATATAGATTTATCTATTGTTTGGTGATAAAGAAGCATTCAGCTTTCGTACAATTACGGCGTCAGTTAAATGTTGAATTTCGTGTAGCTTCTTGAGAAGCCTTTTTGTGATTGCTCAAAATGCCTATACTACAACTATTTAAAACTGTAATGACTCATACGCGTGATCAACACGTGATCAGAGCTCGATCCCGGCTTCCTTCCAGTACAGCCGTATAGCGTACGACATATGTCGTTTCTGTGGCTTTGCGGTGGTCAACAGCACAGACAGAGATGGAAATAATGGCTGATTGTTCTCCGCCGGTAGAACCAATGAAATCAAAGACGCGCCTCGACCGGCAGACTCATAGGCGTCGGCAACGCATTGGAACGTGTTTCGTTGAGCGATCGCATATTGTGTGTTTTTATAAGATTTGTTGTGTGATTGTTATTGTTGTGGTTTCTGTGGTTACTGTTTTGGTTATACTTAACCATGGAGAGTACAAATGGCACGAGTGGAAGTACTGAGAGCCAGGGAACAAGTAGACGGCTTCGTAAAGCACTGAAGAGGGACGCGAAAGAAATCGTGCTCAACGTGTTCAATTATCTGAACAGAGCTATGTCGCAGGGAGATGCACACGCGCGTTGTGAAAGTATGACAGGCGTTCCAGAGTGGACCATTCACAGGGTGGTGCATGAAAAGAAGAAAACTGGAGCTACTACTGATCCAAAGTTTAAATTGAAGGGACGAAAGGCCGTTAAATTGGATGACGATAGCAAAATGGCGTTAAGGCGAACCGTACATTCATTCTTCTTTAGGAATGAGATACCAACCCTCAAGGCTGTACATGCAGCGATCAAGGAAAATGAAATTATACCCCAAATGAGCGTCGAGGTAATGAGGAAATCCCTGCACGCAATTAATTTTCATTACGAAACGCGTAATCGGAAGTCAGTATTGATAGAGAGACCTGAAATAGTCGCCTGGCGTCGAAAATACCCACGAGAAATGATTGAATATAGGCGACAAAGCAGAAAAATCTATTATTTGGACGAGACATGGGTAAATGCAGGTCACACAGTTAAAAAAAACTGGATAGACTAAAACGTAGTGAGTAACCGACAAGCAAGCATTGAAGGTTTGTCAACAGGTCTTCGGGGACCGTCAGGGAAAGGTCAAAGATTGATCGTAACTCATATTGGTAGCGATAGTGGCTTTTTAGAAGAGTGTGACTTGATTTTCGTCTCTAAGAAAGGAGGTGATTACCATGACGAAATGAATGCCAGCTGCTTCGAGAGCTGGTTTCAAGGGGAGCTTCAGCGAGCTGAGCCCAACTCTGTGATCGTCATGGATAATGTTTCCTACCATAGTCGTCGAGCCGAACGTGTACCGACTATGGGATCTCGAAAAAGTGACATGCAGCAATGGTTGCGCGAAAAAGGAATCGCGTTTGACGATTCATGTGTGAAAGCGGAATTGTATGAAAAAATTAAACAGCACAAACCTGCGAACATTAGTTACGTGACTGATGAGATGGCCCGTCAATGTGGTGTCACTGTGCTGCGGTTACCGCCCTACCACTGTGAACTGAACCCAATAGAGCTCATCTGGGCTCAAGTGAAGGGTTATATTGCGCGCCATAACACAACCTTCAAATTACCAGACGTTAAGGTTTTACTTGAGACTTCCATACAGCTAGTAACGCCCGAAGCTTGGCAGAATGCTATCCGTCATGTTGTGAAGGAAGAAACAAAAATGTGGCAGCTTGACCACCACATCGACACCATCATAGAGCCAATTATAGTCAATTTCAACGAGGAAAGCGATAGCGAGAGTTTATTACTGTCAGATGTAAGTGGAAGCGACGATGAATAAAGGTAATTCCCAAATTTTTGACTTACAATATGTTTCAAACCACTCTTTATTAAGCATGTGACAAATCTAGCTCACCCATGTTAAACATTCATACCCCGCCTATGAACAGCCGACTACTGGTAGTTAAGTGATGTTCACGTGAACATCGATGTGTCATTACAGTTTTAGATAGTTATAGTATAGAGTGCGTTGAATTCACCAGGTGTCCCAGCTAAGTGACTTTGAGAGGGGTCGAATTGTCATGTTGCGAGAAGCCAGTCTATCGATAAGAGAACTTATATTTTCCAGGTTTTTTTCGGGGCAAGTGAAATAAAGAGAATGTTTCACCTTCAAATTTCATGACTTCCTTCTACCTATGTCCAACTATCGGGTTTTTTCAACAACTTTGAACTTTCACTGTGAACGCACCTTTAAATCAATTACCGAACTGTCAATGTCAAAACACAAGAATTTGGCATCGCTCAGACCACACTATGGCGAATTTTGCGGAGAGATCTTGACCTGCACCCTTATAAGATCAAGTTAACTCAAGAACTAAAGCCGTTCGATCACATGAAGCGATGTACGTTCTCGGATTGGCTCTAGAAATGTTGCGAGAAAATGAATTTCATCGCAAAATCGTCATCTGAGGCACATTTTTGGCCGTCAACAAACAGAATATGCGTTATTAGTCAAGTGTAAACCATGTGCTTCAAGAAACGGCACTTCATAGCAAGTGTACGCGCAATGTTTGATTCGCCAGATGCGTTTTTGTTATTGGCCATTGTTATGTGTTTCTTTTTCTCGTGTATTTACCTGGCATCCATGATTCTCACGTGCTGTCATCCCATTCCAAGTCCAGTCACCCTTCACGAATAACGTGTAACTCATACCACGTACCTATGCTGTCTGAATTTTTGGCCCATTTTTTCTTCCTGTATCCATCTAACCCCTTTATTCACCTTAGAGGCTGGATTCCGTAATGTCCTTGGTGTCGTGACACGCGAGATTCCGTCTACTGTCACCGCCTATACAAGGTGGTCCCATTTTAATCTCCCAACCAGACATCTGAGAAAAAAGTTTTCAACCAAAGTGGTGACCTTGAATATGACCTTGACCGGGACCTTCAAAGTCATGCCAACATTTTACGCGTTTAAATACACTGCCACGCAAAATTAACCGGACAAACAAAATTGTGTTCAAATTGAATTTGAAATAACTTTTTAACCTTGGCATCAATTTCGTTAATTTTTTCATCAAGTTGTAGGTAATTTCAATGTCATCAGTATCGACTGTTGATCTTGCAAAAAATTGAGAATGTTTGTTGTTATACAGTGTGTAACTATACGGTGCATTTTGCCCTAAATTTCTGAACACCCTGTGGACACATTGGATTACTGAATAGTGTGTCTTCGTATGATAATTTTAATCCTCAACTTTTCTCAACAGTTCTTTTTTTGTTTCATGTCAATATCTCAGTTATTGAAGAATATATGCTTTGAAAAATTACAATGACAACATTGGTAAGAAAACTGTACGAATCATAACCATAAACAATTTAACTTAAAAATTACAGTGACATCATTGGTAATTAGAAATCAAAATCGAGTATTTCCTCCCCGGGCTGGAATAACAGCTCTCATCTTCTCTGGCATAGATTCAATTAAACAAGGGGTATTTGCTCCCATTCGTTTTCCAGCGCCTGTTCCAACGTAGCCTGCACATTTATTAGAAACATTGAAAAAATGAAAATTAAAGAAGATAAAAATAATACGAAAAATTCATATTGAAGTTATAATTAGGAAATTAAAAAAAATGTCTTTGGGTTGTGTTTAAACATTGGATCTTGTAAATGTAGTATTTACCGCGTTACCAATAGATGCAAAAAATTTGCTACAGAAATTACACCAGTGACATAGAAATTGGGGCAATATTTACCGCTGCAAAATAAATTGAAAATTATTTTCTATGCCTTTTTTAAGACGTATTGCATTTTTAAATAAGGCATTTAATTTTATGTGTAACATCTTTTGAGAAAATTTTGGCACACTTGAATATTCAAGAATAAATCCATATAAATATAAAGTGTAACCCTAATAAATACAAAGTATCTAAATCTATTAAGATCGCGTACAGTAATAAAAAAACTTTCATGCATACCTCGCTTAAAAACGTTATTTTTATCTTTCTTGAAACCATCAACAATCATTGCTTACAAATACCCGTTTACATGAAAACGAATATTTCAAAAAAATAAAAAATCCATTATGTGGAACCGAGTCCCGATGTTCACTCCACTGATACGATATAATCCAAATCATCCAAATTCGCTGCATGTGTTTAGAATGTTGGGTCCGTATCGATTCCACCCTAAAAGTCGTGAGAAAGTTCACATCCCTGTCATGGGAAATATGGGGTGGCTGCCATCTGACGTCTTCCGCATCCGTTTACACGAATCTGTTCCCGAAAAAACACCAATGTGGTCATCGCACATTTGCATATTTGCCCCGAATTTGGGGGTCACTATGGAAACAACGTGTGACTCAACCTCGGGCGTTTTTGGTGCTTTCAAAAAAATGGCGTCACTTCCCACGCAACGGCGAAAGGATTATATCCAGGATAAATAAGTTCTTCTAAGGAAAAAGTTAGTTACGAACGAAAAATGTGTGGTGGTGCCCCGTTATGAAGACACCACAAATTCTGTCTCCGTTGTAATGGCTTGTTGTCTAAGGTCTGCTCTAAAAGTTCTGGTAGGTTATTGGCTAAGGTATCCATTTTGAAATATTAATATTAAGTTGATATAACAGATAAAGTCAGCCAAACAGGCCCATAAAATTACTACTAAAGCTAGTTTCTTCCCTGCTCTGATTATCGACCGTCTGGCAACACTGTTGAACCACACTTGTGAACGATGTCATAACCACACAAAGTCCGGTGCGTGAAGATTGCCAAATATTTCTCTGAGGGCAAATGCAAAATGAGATATTTATTCTCTTCCTACTATACTAT